AATGTCCTGTCAAGATGATGATTATGGACAATGTCAAGGTATGGCACAGCTCCTGAGTGCTTTGTGGGACTAGTGTCGTCATGTGTCGATCATCGCCAGGAAGCCATGTGTGTGATGAGGAGAGACTGGCGGCTTCTCAATCTGGCGGAACAGTCCTACAAATGTGCTAGAATTGTCCCTGACTTGCAATTCTTGTTCAGCGCCCCTGTCAGGCTACCGCGTGCCCTTTTCGAGCAGAGTGGCTGGGACGAAACAAGCGTCCCTGGAACATTTGTCTTGAAGGGTGTCTTGATGGTCTTGCCCGACAACAAGATCGTCGAAGATTGTCATCAAGCGGTGAGAGTGGAGGCAAAGAGCCACCACCCGAACCAAAAGATGACCGTGCCACGTGTGCAGTCATGTGTCATGAACAGCAATGTCTTCAGTGCCAGAGAGCTATCCATGTGGGGAAGTTGACTAAAGAGGAGTTCGTCCAGAAATGGGGCAAGCGGCAGACTGCTGATGAGCATTATGGTCGCAAGATCTTTTCTAGCTGCTATCATCGTCTTCCCAAATCTTTCAGCAACACCATGAAGAAGAAATCATGGACAAGTGTCAATGAGGAACAGTATGGGAAATCATATGCTGCATGGGAGTGGATTCGGTTTTACACTGAATATACTTTAGCGGGGACAAATGTCAAAGCTGACGACACTTGGATTTTGATTCAGCCTCTTTTGTTTGCTGGCATTGTTTCCTCAATTCTCAATTAGACTTACTTGAAAATATTCTTTTCTTTGATCAGTCTGGGCTGCACTTGCAGGATGGTCTGAACTCTGTCATGTGTTTTCCTGGCCAACTTCTGTCACAGTTTTCCACAAAGACAACTGTTCTCAGCCTTGGCAATCGACTTTGGGCAACCATGGTGTGGCCGTTGGAGGAACATGGTCATCATGACAGGTTTCAAACCTACAAGCTCAGCACCAATCCATCCATTGGGGGGTCATTTGTCTTTCCATTCAACCCAGATGACTGGGTAGCAACAGATGCAGAAGCATCATTGGAGGAAGGTGTGGGTGTACTACTGTCTCCACAGCGTCCATTTGAACCCTTGCCGCAGGCAGCCCTTCGCCAGTCGGTCAATTTGACTTACAATGACTTGGTCATCATTGCTGATGCACTGGGGGTGCCCAATCCTGTTAAGTTGTCTCGAGCTGATTTGATTACCCGCTTTTGTGAGCGGCTTGGGGATGCAATTTCACAGAGTTTGCGAAGAGTCAGGAAGCAGGAGAGAAAAAAAAACAAAGAAGAAGAATGCAGTGACAAATGTCGAGCTAGCTGCATCATTGCTGGAGGGGCTGGATAAGGATGAAGCACAAGAGTTTAGCGACATTGTCAATCCTCGAACTGCTATGAAGAGAAAGTGGGCAGAGATTAAGGAGGAGAAAAAAATGAATCTTGGTTGCTGACTAGATTTCTCAAATTAATTAGTCAAAATGAAGTGCAATAGAAAGCTTTAGAAATAACTAATTTCAAACATTCTCGTCTAAGGAGAAGGAGGAAAAGAAGAAGAGCGCCTCTCGCAGAGCATTTGGTCGAGGTCAAGGAGGTCGGGGGCGAGGACAAGGCAGAGCCAGAGGCAAAGGCAGAGGCCGTGGAGTTCAGCCTCAATCCAGCGATCGTCCAGAAGAGGCGTGAGCACCAGCGCCACCTCCAGCACCATCTGTTTCTGAGCCTGTGCCCTTAGCACTGCTTCCCGAAGTCGCTGAGGAACATGAGGAGCATGAGTCGCCGCACATGGAGGAACATGAGGAACATCAGTCGCCGCACATGGAGGAACATGAGGAACATCAGTCGCCGCACATGGAGCTAGATGAGGAAGAAGTGTCTGATGCTGCAGCTGGGCCTGCTGCAGCAAAACCTGCAGCAGGACCTCCAGCAGAACCTGCTGCAGCTGAAGCAGGGAGGAGGCGTCATGTGGTACTTGTGTCGCCAAGAGAGCACTTCACACCTGCAATCCTTCAGAGATTGGCGCCTCCAGGAATGCCATTTGGCTTGGACCAAAAGGCTCACCGCTTCACGGTAAAGTTTAAGGTCAAGCCTCGAGAAGGACATGTGTGGGCTGCTTATGGACCAGGTGGATCTCGCTCCAAGGCGTTTCAACATATGTCCTGGGAAGAGGCACTGAAGCAGTTGCATCAGGAAGCTTGGGAGCGCTGGGATTTGGCGAAACATTTGCCTGGCTTTGAACTAGATGATTTGAATCAAGCGCAGCAGCCTGGACATGTGTCAGACAGCATGCTTGCTGTGATAAGAGAGGTCATTGCACAGATGCCTCCTCCTATTAAGTGCCCTAAGCGTTCTTGAACAAGTGTCACAAGTTGCACTGGCTCGCACAAGTTTTATGCATGAATCCTCCACAAGTGTCACAAGTTTCACTGGCTCGCAAAAGTGCCCACAAGTTAAAAAAAATGCCTGAAGTTTGACTGAATGCACAAGACTTTGAGTGAATTTGTCTTGTCTTGGACTTGTTTTGATTGAGTTTCATGCCATCAGCTTTTTATGTTAGCTCAAATGTCAACAACTATGTAATTGTTTTCATGTTGAAGAAACCATTTTTTATCAAAATTTTATATCAAATCATGGTATGATTTTCGAAATTCCACTGGATACTGGTCACTGATCACTGACTATTATCTTGATTATAAATTTCACTCCTGTTTTGAGGCGGCCGTGGGGAAATCAGTTGCAGAAAGGCGCCTGAGACAGTTGTCCTCAGCATGGCTATTTTTGTTCAGGACACATGACATGAAGAACAAAAGGAAACGAACCTCGAAGCAAAACAAGGAGGTGGATGCTGCTACCGAGACACGTGTCCATGATGATGCTGGCTCTTCTGGCACTGGCACTGAGGCATCAGGTGTCACTGAAAAGCATGAGGCAACAAGTGCCAATGCAGCAGCTGCAGCTGCCACTGATTTGCCAATTAACCCATTTGTGGACACATGTGCTAAAGCTCTTGCATTTGGCTATGAGGATGCCTGGCCCTACTCTTCCTTCAACAGGCCAGGGTTGATAATCATGTTGTTGAATAATAACAAACGTAACAAAGAGACTTAAACAGTTTTTTGCTCTGACAATCATAATTAATAATATAGTACTTAGTGTTTCTAAACTATCCTGGCTGCCCACCCTGACTGCTGCAGGTGTGCACAAATGTCGTTGTTCCTGGTGGAGACCTTTTCTCGGTTCTTGGCACATGATCTTCATGTGTCTGGTGGGAATCCGATCAAGATGTGGCCACCTCTGCTGGACTTACTGTACCCATGTCTGCGACCAGTTGCAGACCTTGCGATGAAGCTGTCACTCCTGTGCCAGCGTGCTTTTGCCAACAGGCTCCAGTGTTCACATCATCTCCACCACTTTGTTGAGTACTGGTGTGGCGCAGCCAACTTGACCAAGGAGATGATCAAAGCAGGCTTTGAAGGAGCCGGGTTCGACATCATCCATTCACATATGCACAGTTGTCTCGACACATGTGGCCTTCGTCTCTGGATGGATATGCTCATGAGCATATGTGAGCACGGTCTTTGTTGGCTTGGACCACCCTGTTCATCATTTGTCGTCTTGTGTTTGGCGCAAAGCCAAAGGTACGACTGGAATCAATGGTGGGGAGGCGCAACGAGAACATTTGTGAGGACTGGCAATAGCCACATGCAAGTAGCAGCCATCATGTTCCTTGTGTCATGTGTGATTGGCGTCATGGTCTGCCTGGAGCAGCCGGACAACTCGTGTTTACACAATTAAGTGTCTTCCTATGAGGTCAGTGTTGTCATTTGTGAAGGCTCATCGTGTGAAGACTTACCTTGGAGCATTTGCTGGCCCCACATGCAAGCCATTGCAGATATGGACAAACAGAGCGTGCTTCTTTCAACTGGCCAGAGACTGCCCAGCCAGGGAACAATTGTCAGGTGAGCAACTGGTCCCTCGAAGTGAAGATGGCCGAAGTTTCACCGGGAGGAAGGACCTGCTAGAGGAGTCAGGTACCTACACTCCACAATTTGGGTCAAGTGTTGCCCAGACTTTTGCATCGGAGTTTCTGCGGCTGCGCCATGTGTGAGTGACTTTTGTCTCACACTTGTGCCAGCTGCCTGCATGCAGTGTGTTGCACTACATGGAGGACTTCTGTCTCCCCAATCTTTGGCAACTGCTGCAAATTAGATTTTCAACACATGTCAAGCATCATGTGTTTGATCTCATCATAGGGTTCTTGGGTAAAAACAGTTGTCCTTGCAGGCGAAACTCAGGAAAATCTTTGATACTTGTGTTTGTGAATGCTACGAGAATTTGCAAAATCTTAGATAACAGAATTCCAATTCCACTTGCTTCACCTGAGGTTGGATGGTAATGTTTCGAGGCCAGGATATACTGACACATGTTTACCTGTGCTTACTTGTGACAATTGACACAAAACTTTGACATATGTCCTCTCTTTTGCTTTTGCCAGGAGGAAAGCATATCAATAAAATATAACAAAATTTTACAAAAATAGAACTTTTAAAAAAACAAGTATCATTTAATATTGAATTAACTATAATTTCTGGAGTTTTGTTTTACGTAAAGCATCGTTTGTCATGCGTTGTCCTTGCGAAATACACTAAGTGAAGAAAACACCCTAAAGAAAAAACAATGTCTTTTTCTTGAAAAAGTTTGTCGTACCCATCGTGTTCAACACGGATGCTCTGCGAGCAACCTTGAACAAAATCTAAAAAAATGGAAAACATGGAAAACCTGTAAAACCCAGGAAGACAAAAGGCAACATCGTTGCAGTATCAACTATATTTTTTATTTCTGTCTTCAATAACCCAAACCTACCCTATAGAGGACCCAGGGAACCAAGGTATCACATTACGTTTGGTGAATATCAACCACATTTTTGAAATATATCGTTGATATCAAACTCATACACACCAGTCATACCAGATTCAATCGTATCAACCCACACCACCAGCAACTCGGAGGACATCATTATCCCTGAGTCGGCCATTGCGCACTTCGCTATCCATTCATCGTTCGAGCCACAGGACTTGGACGGAGCATGGTATCGAAGCAGCGACGGGGCGAATGTGGGCGAGTTCTCAAAAGGGAACTTCATTTGGCACATGGATTGGGACATTGAGGAGCGAACGCCGGAACACTCTGTAACACAGGAGGAATCAGAGACACCTATATAGCCTGTATACATTAACTGTGGGAATAAACAGAGAATCGTAGATAGAGGGCATACAATGAGGTGTTTTTAGAGTGAAGAAATGCATCGACAGTGGATTAACTGGTGGTTTCGAAGCTCTTCGATTTGCCATTCGGATGTTGGATGATAATGCCTCAAATTACTCATTTGATTTGGGATTGGTTGCTGCCACCGATGAAAAAAACTCAATATGAATCCTTTAAGATCGCTGATCAAGGCAAAGATTTGTTTCACATTCGGGAAATGGGACCATGCGACAATGCACCTTGATCCACTTCATGATACATGAGGCAAAATGATTTTCCAACCCCAAGGGTTGTCCAGGTGACCGCAACCGAGCCAACAAAAATGTTCAGCAAATTCCGGAATTTCAAAGTATGAACCATGGATAAACGTGGTACTGTCGAACCCGGTTTGACCATTTGGGCTCATGCTTGTTGGTGTACCTCTCATTTCTGTTCGCACTCACTTCCCTTTACCATAATAATTGGCATTTCCACTTCTAGATGGGGTCCCATCTCACAAAAATGTTTCAAATGTTCGAGCATATCGAAAATATCTTGATCAAACAAATGTCACAAATATCAAATATTATGGTATTATAAGGGGGCCAGAACCATCCAGAAATGTTCCAGAACTCATCATTTCTGCCCAAGGTCCGAGGTCCAGCTCTGACAGGAGACCATCTCCAAGGTCCACCTGCTGGGTGGAAACGAGCTACGCCTGGTGGCCCACAGTCTGTCGGGGTCGGAGCATGGCCTGCTGGAGCTCTGTGGCACCGTGTCATTGGAGGCACAGCCTAACATCCACTGGCAAGATGGAGAGATCTGGTTGCGCAAGTGATCCAAAGTGATCCACAGTGATTTGGCTAGTAGTTTCGAACAGTTCGTTTACTTTTACGCTATGTTACACAATGACCACCTTTTTGGGGGATGGGGTCGAAACCACCAGTGATGTTTGCAGCCCGGATGCGGATCATTCATCGACGGGGCGTTGAAGCGTCATGGGGCGTCAAAAGATATCGGGTGATTTGTTCAGCCCGGGTCACCCAGGGATTTATGTATCATCAGTGAAACATGGTGGACAAGCAATCAAGGGAATAGTCAGTACCATTAAAAGGGTATGTTGAGCTAGATTTACACCCAAAGAACACCAGTTTGAGTAGGTAAATCTACCAGCAACATGGATGGTATTGGGATGTGGCATGATGTGGCCCTTGGATACCGATGGTCCCATGGGTGCCCAAAAAGGCCTGGCTGGTTGGAGCTGGAAGAAGCACGTACTGAATATATTGAGCCGTGCAAGTGAAAGTTGAGATGTTGAGCTTGAGTGTTTGATCAGCTTGTATGCTGCAAGGGCCAAACATCCGGGACTACCCCTCTAAATGATGACATAACCCATTCAAATATTCGACCAGCAAATATTGTACCCTATCATACCAGCGGAAGAAAAACAAACTAAAAAACTCCCCTCTTGCGGAAGGCCGGTCTTCGGAGTCAATCCCCTAGTAAATTTGAGACTATAGGTGACAAGCACCATCTTAGACCATCTTCGTGTCGAGATTGTTTGCACTCTGAAAGCACAATAGATCATTAATCGAAGGAAGTTTAGAAGTCAAACTTCCGACAATATGGACAGATGAAAAGCAGAGTAGGGCAGAGGCAGGGAGAAGAGAAAGATTAGAAGAGAGAAGAGTAGAAGAGAAAGAGTCAGAAGAAAGAAGATGCAGATGCGCGAAAAGGTAGGAAAGTCGCGAAACACTGTGTTTTTCCCCACATTGACGTGTGGGGTTTTTCCCCACATTGACGTGTGGGGTTTTTGTTTTTAGTTCTGTATCCGCGCCTCCTCCTCCTTCCCGTCCTCCTCACACACTCACTCACTCACTCACTCACTCACTCACTCACTCACTCACTCAACTCTCCGCCTCTTTTGCGTGGCAGGCGTGGGACAATGTGCACTGTCAAGGGGTCGGATGTACGCCCCGGGGTTCCGCTGGCGTCCCTGGGTCTCCGCCCTTTTGCGTGGCAGGCGTGGGACAATGTGCACTGTCAAGGGGTCGGATGTACGCCCCGGGGTTTCGCTGGCGTCCCTGGGTCTCCGCCTCTTTTGCGTGCAGGCGTGGGACAATGTGCACTGTCTGTCAAGGGGTCGGATGTACGCCCCGGGGTTCCGCTGGCGTCCCTGGGTCTCCGCCTCTTTTGCGTGGCAGGCGTGGGACAATGTGCATTGCCAAGCCTATTTTGCGTGGCAGGCGTGGGACAATGTGCACTGTCAAGGCGTCGGATGTACGCCCCGGGGTTCCGCTGGCGTCCCTGGGTCTCCGCCTCTTTTGCGTGGCAGGCGTGGGACAATGTGCACTGTCAAGGGGTCGGATGTACGCCGGCGTGGGACAATGTGCACTGTCAAGGGGTCGGATGTACGCCCCGGGGTTCCGCTGGCGTCCCTGGGTCTCCGCCTCTTTTGCGTGGCAGGCGTGGGACAATGTGCACTGCCAAGGGGTCGGATGTACGCCCCGGGGTTCCGCTGGCGTCCCTGGGTCTCCGCCTCTTTTGCGTGGCAGGCGTGGGACAATATGCACTGTCAAGGGGTCGGATGTACGCCCCGGGGTTCCGCTGGCGTCCCTGGGTCTCCGCCTCTTTTGCGTGGCAGGCGTGGTTCCCCACATTGACGTGTGGGGTTTTTGTTTTTAGTTCTGTATCCGCGCCTCCTCCTCCTTCCCGTCCTCCTTCGCTCACACACTCACTCACTCACTCACTCACTCACCCACCCACTCACTCACTCACTCACTCGCTCACTCACTCACTCACACTCACTCACTCACTCACCCACCCACTCACTCACTCACTCACTCGCTCACTCAGTCACTCAGTCACTCAGTCACTCAGTCACTCAGTCACTCAGTCACTCAGTCACTCAGTCACTCAGTCACTCAGTCACTCAGTCACTCAGTCACTCAGTCACTCACTCACTCACTCACTCACCTGTGCACATGGCTCATCATCATCATCATCATCATCATCATCATCAATATCATAATAGATGGTTTTATGATGAATAGCTGTATAGAGCTATTTTTAAATGATGACGGGTTATTTAGGATATGTTATTGGTGATGGCATGTTATGATGAACATAGCTCTGAACAGGTGTGCTCTGAAGTGGACATGTCAACTCGGGCATCTGAACGACTCACTGAGGTCAGCACAGAAGCACTTGCGATCACCCCACTTCTGACCGCATCCTTCTCATCCGCCTAGCCCCCTCCATCACTCTTATACTTGTGCTTCCCTATCTTGCTTTTCTATGCTCAGTCTCAACTCGGGCAGTCTAGAGAAGTTGGATCACCCACTTCTAACATGTGGGGTCTATCACTCACACTGGCACTGGCACTCGCACTCGCACTCACTCACTCACTCACCCACTCACTCACTCACTCACTCATTCATTCACTCACTCACTCACTCACACACACTCTCACTCGCACTCGCACTCGCACTCTCACTCACTCACTCACTCACTCGCTCGCTCGCTCGCTCGCTCGCTCGCTCACACACACTCGCTCACACACACACACACACTCACTCACTCACTCACTCACTCACACACTCACACACACACACTCACTCACTCACTCACTCACTCACTCACTCACTCACGCACACACTCACTCCCACACTCACTCACTCACACACTCACTCACACACTCACTCACACACTCACTCTCACACTCACTCACACTCACTCACACTCACTCACACTCACTCACACTCACTCACACTCACTCACACTCACTCACACACACACTCACACACACACACTCACTTCACAGACTCACTCACTCACACTCACTCACTCACACTCACACTCACTCACTCACTCACACACACGCACACACACACACACGCCGTGGGACAATGTGCACTGCCAAGGGGTCGGATGTACGCCCTGGCGTCCCTCCGGTGTCCCTTGGTCTCCGCCACTTTTGCGTGGCAGGCGTGGGACAAGTGCGTGGCAGGCGTGGGACCATGTGCACTGCCAAGGGGTCGGCTGTACACCCTGGCGTCCCTCCGGTGTCCCTTGGTCTCCGCCGCTTTTGCGTGGCAGGCGTGGGACAATGTGCACTGCCAAGGGGTCGGTTGTACGCCCTGGCGTCCCTCCGGTGTCCCTTGGTCTCCGCCGCTTTTGCGTGGCAGGCGTGGGACAATGTGCGCTGCCAAGGGGTCGGTTGTACGCCCTGGCGTCCCTCCGGTGTCCCTTGGTCTCCGTCGCTTTTGCGTGGCAGGCGTGGGACCATGTGCACTGCCAAGGGGTCGGATGTACGCACTGGCGTCCCTATTCTTTAAGGCGTTGGGGAGCAACCCATGTTTTTTCAGAATCCCATTCTTACTCCACTGTGACACAACAAGGGCGGTGGAGTTCGCAGCAGACAGTTCGGGTATATATAGCAGATACTTTGGCCTTGCTGACTGATTTGAATTTAAGAATGAGCCCAATTCATTTTACATGTCTTCGACAATGGAATACAGTACTTAGGGAGCTTGAGCTTTCGGCGCGCCGAAGGAACGGGAAACGTGGATAGGACACAAGGATGCATCACTTAATGATTGTTTGTTGTAATTCCTGGTTTTTGTTGCTTCGTGTTTTGTGGAAATTAATTTCCTCTAATCCGGGTGGTTTTTGTTTGCGCGTTTTCTTGCTGTTTGTTGTTTCACCAACCAACTGCTTTAGCAAAAAAGATGAAGTGGTGCAATTCTTTTAAAAAGGTTGCCAAAAATTGGATTTCGAAGCGGGCCTTATTAATAAATTTGAAACCTTAATAATAAAAACTATTTTTTCCGATTTAAAAATCAATTCAATTTTCTTTTATTATTGCCAAAAATTTGTTTTCGAAGCGGGCCCTAATAATACATTAAACGCCCTAATATAAAAAACTAAAAATTTTCGGACGGATCCTAATAATAAACAGCTCGGGGTTGACTAGTTTTTATTTTTAGGGGGCGAAACCCACAAATGGTAGCTTTATTTTTAATTTGTTTTCTAAAGGGGGTCAATTAAAAGTCAAATTGGCCAATCTGAAATTTTCCAAAATTAGAGATGGACCCTAGTTTTTAGTATTTGGGGGGTTTAGTAATAGGGGGAAAGGATTACACTACACTACACTACACTACGCTACACAAACCTACACTACGCTACACTACACTAAACTACACTAACTACAACTACAGCTGCAACTGCAACTACACTACTTTACACTACACTACACCAGACAACACTACACTAGACTACGCTACAGCACACAACACTACAGCACACTACACTACACTAGACTACACTACAGCACGCAATATTGCAGCTTACTACACTACATCACATTACACTACACTACAACTACAGCTGCACTACACCAGACTGCATCCAGCAGTTGTGGCCGCAACCATTGCAACCACTCCAAAAAACACAACTCCAACCACCTTTCGGTCCATCAGTGGATTCGCTCTGCCATCCATGCATCACAACAACTCACCTCTCCTATAGTGTCCTATGTTTGAAACTTCCGCCACCGCCTTGCGCGGTACTACTGGTAAGATATAGGTAAATTACAAGGAATTCATTGCAATTTCACTGGAGTGATTGTTAGTAAGGGAAGCTATCCCAAAATGGCATTATTTCAGATTCGTGAATGTGTTTTTTCTATAATATTTCCATGTAGTATGTTTATGTGTGTTCAGATTCACATATCGACTCCCATGTTTGTATACCTGGTTTTTTCGTCGCTATGTTCTTCACTTACTAAAACCCATACGCGCGGTTGCCACCAATTTTTCTGGCATGGTCCAGCTTTGAGTTCAATCATCTCGGACAGGGCAGCGTGTACAGTATGTGCACGCAACGATTCCTACACCAAAGTTTGCCACTTTGCTTCGCAAACATATACATTCATGAATTAACATGTTCTTTGCGCTGAATCTCGACGGTGGTTCATTTCTATCTACTTATATCGGTTTACTACATTGGCATCAATCCCTACCAGTCGCATGGAAGATTCCATGACAAGCGACAAA